TTTTGTTTTCTGCACCATCCCACCCACCCCCAACCCCCCCCCCCCTCCGCGGCAAAATATATAGTACTAATTTTTTTTTTATATTTTCAGTTCTTGTTTTTTTATTTTTCAGTTTACGGGTTCGAAATTTTACGAGTTCCTAAGTTATGAGTTTGGAGGTTTATGTGTTTGGAAGTTTGCGGGTTTAGAAATTATAGAGTTTACGGGTTCGAAAGTTTAGCGGTTCGGAAGTTTATGACATTTGTGGGTTCGGAAGGTTGTTGGTTCGAAAGTTTATGGCTTCATGTTTATTGTATCTAAATTTTTTATGAATACTTTTAAGAAGTTATTTTTCTTAATTTGCGTACCAAACACCAAAAAATAAGTAATATTATTACTTATTTTCTAAGAAAATATTTTCCAAAACATTTTCCGTTATACCAAAGAGACCGTAGGACAATGAGTTTTCGCATTACAATGCCTAAAGAAAGGGATAGAAAAATGTGACATAGGTATCCCTACAGCCTTTCCTCACAAATAAAGTACAGCAGAATTAGCACTTTTTATACCCCACGCCCACGTTATCCTTCACATTTTTGTGCCTATGCTTGTTTTAATATACTACGTATAATTTTTCTCGTGTACGCATCATGCTGATCCCCCTGGCAACTTCTTGATCTGTTCTCTTCTGTTACAAAGTAAAAAACTGCACTTTCCATTTGGCTTTTTTACTTTTCTATTATCAGTCAAAATTGCAAAATCCATAAAAAAATAAGAGTAATTATTACTTTGTACTAAGCAAGCATATAAATACCGGAAACTCTCTTATCTATAAATTGCAATACTCTTACATTTCCTTCTCCAGTCTTTACTTTAGAATACAGTAAACAGCATGAATATCAACAAGGCAGCTTCATTTTTACTTCCTTTGGTGTTTTTCTTGGCTTTATCCCAAGAATTTGTTAATGGGCGCCCTCTTATACTTTCACTGACCAGACCCAAGCCAGATGATGCTGCCCTCTTTGCTCGTTGGCTTGTTTCTCAGAGTTCTTGGGGTGTTCTTAAGTAAGTATTTTTCTTCTGTCTCGTAGACCATAGCTTTAATATTCTTACTTAATTGCGTGAAATTATCGAATTAGTATCTTTTTGTCTGAAAGATCGAATCTTTTACTGTGGTCTATGATTCTTAGCCAACCCCAACTAGTTTGGGATCTTGGGGTGTTGATTGATTGGCTGTTCTTGATTTTTATTTTTTGGTTGATCAGATGCAGTTTCATTTTCCTACCCCCTTGTCGATTTTAACATGTTAAAATCTGAATTACAGCTGCTTTGTTGTCTATGCTGTCATTTGTGGCAGCTAAAGTCAATTGATTGGCTATAACAGTACTGGCTTAAAGATTGTTGTTAAGAATGGAAAAATGAATGACACTAACAAATTGCTGATTAAAAGCCCTGGTAAAATTTAAACTGACAGCTGATTTAGTGACCTTTCTTTTGCAGTACTATAGCAAGTGATATGGGAGGAGCACCGTTCGGGTATGTTAGACATCTTTGGACTTTGTTTGGGAAACTCTTTCATTTGTTTCTTGCACATTTAAGTTCTGCTTATGTATAGATTCTGACTATCTTACCGTCTTAAATTCTAAAGTGGAATATGTTTGAAAAGCATTTCAGCAGTAAGAGTATCTTGATGTTCAGAAATCTCATGCCAATACAAAAAAGAAGAAGTTCTGAGTGTCCTTTGTTTGATGTTCAGAAGGGGAATGGTCAAGCAGATTGTCGTAATGTTAATTGGTATTAAAAATGTATTTTGTTTCAGAATTACTCTTAGCATATAATTTATCCTATTTCTTATACCATCTTCTAGATAGCACGATCGTATATCAAGTGTCACTCTAGGAAAAGGAAAGGTCTACATAGAAAAAGTTGAAAGGTGATAATCTTAATTGAGGATATAGTTCTTTGTTCAATTTTGAAGGGATTGGGGCTTTGAAATCTTTAGAAGCTCTCAGCGTAGAACTTTATGTTTCTTGAACCCCAAGTAACTTTAGGACTAGAGATGGAGGATTTGTCGAATCTGATCCTTTATGGATATGAAGCTGTTTAATCTTATTTTTGTTACCAGTCATAACTTGTTTTGGTAGTCTTGAATCTTGTGAAGTACATTGTGTTGTGCAGGAATGTTGTCTCATTTAGTGATGGGTTACCAGACAAAGGTCGTGGCATACCGTACTTCTACTTAACAACTCTTGATCCCACCGCTAGAAATGCATTAAAAGACCAGAGATCATCACTTACAATCAGTGAATACGCCATTGGCAGTTGTGGAAAGACAGATCCTGAGAACCCATCTTGCGCCAAAATTACCCTCATAGGAAAGGTAGTTGCACTAACAACTCCTCTCTTTTAAACAAGAGTTTTATGTAGCTCGATGAATATTTTGTATCCCACTCTTCCAGGCTCTTTTCTTCACTCCAAAGTTCAGTGCATCCCCTAAATGTTCCCTTAATTCTACATTTCATTGCTATATGCCCTTTAGCAGTAAAATTAATCTGTGCATTTGTGGATGGTAGAACTTGATAATCCTCTTCCGTGACCAATTCCAGCTAGACAGTTATCAATTGTTGAACTTTATGGTAGACGGAATTTGTTAATGGCAACCTTTACCATGTATTTGACATTTTTGTTTAATTTGAGTCTTCTCGAAATCTCAATGTTATGCTGCCCAGGAATTTTTAAAGTATACTTGCACATCGCTGCACACATTTAATTCTGAAACAGACTGCTAGTTTGAACTTCCCACTAACTGGTGATACCTTTTGCATTTTGGCACCGTAGTTGGTTGGCATCAATGTTGAAAGAGACAAGAGGAAAGGAAAAAAAAAACAATATTTGATCTAATTCCTAATTAGTGCTTGAAAATGTCATAACATGTATAATTAGAGAATCTGTTTTCACTATGGTTGCTATTGTTCTATGTTGTGCTAATTGGAGCAATTACGATGTGGATGGATTCACTTGGCAAGCATATGAACAAGCTGCTGATATGTAAACTTATGGCTTGAATGTCAAGAATGTTACAAGTTGCCCGTTCCTTTTGTAGTTTCTTTGTCCTAAACTGTAAAAGTATCATCCACATTATCAAACTTTATCTTCGTGCTGTTTTAGTTGAAGTTGCTTAATGGAGATCCGAAGGAAACTAGCTTTGCTCAAACTGCTTTATTCACAAAACACCCTGAGATGAAAGGTAAACACCATCTTCTTGACTTTATCTCCCATTCTATAGTACTACCATCTTCCTATGCTTGCTTTTATGAACACCATTATTCATCGGTCACTATTTTGAACCAATGGCAGGTTGGCCCAAGGGTCACAATTTCCAGATCTTCAAAATAGAGATTGAAGAGATATTTATGATCAACTGGTTTGGCGGTCCCAAACCTCTTACTGTCGATCAGTACTTGCAGGCTAAAATGTGAGTTTAGAGCAGTAAAAAGTTGATAGAGAAAAAGTCATCTTTGTATTTTCTCAATGAAAATGAATAAATAAAAGAACTATTGCCGTTTGTCTCAGTATTGATGTCATTCCTTATTTAACATGATCCATACACAGGGATAGTCGCACGGCCATTGCATGAATGCCCTTTACATATACAATCTGCAGACATGTTCTTTGCAACTGAAGCTTCCACAATGGTTTATATAAGAGAAAAAGAAACAGCTGTAAATAGGAGATACTTGTTAAGCTCAATATCATTCATTCATATATGCATTGGCCAAAATGTATGATTTCTTCCAACATTCATTGTGATTCTGACTTGTAAATTATGAAAGTTGTATGCGAATAATGGGATGCAGCATCCTTTGAAGCCAACTGAAGTCCCTCTTGGAGCGCCGTGTGTAAAGAAAATAGAGCATTACAGTATTTATGGAAGCCTAAATTCCACTTTCCCGTATTGCTTCTAAATACTCCACCTATACCGCTATCTATTTTATTGCATGCCCCGTCTATATTTAGTTTTGTCCAACCTGTTGGTGGTGCATACCATTTAACCTGGAGTGTTTTGGTGGCCTGCTGGGGAGTGTTTCTGACAGACAAGAAGTGATATTCAAGAGTTATTGTAGTTACGATTGATCCAAATTAAAAAGGGGAGGAGATCAGACCATTTCAGGAGTGGGTATTGGAGCTTGGGAGTCATGCTTTTAATGTGGATGAGCCTTATCGTTGATGGTAGTAACTTTAGGTCTCTACTTTATATCCCATTAAGGGTCATAGAAGATTAACATTTTACTATTCCACAACTCTCCAAATATTGGAAGAGAACTTTATAAAATTAAGTTTGTTAAATAATTTGAAATTTGTGAAGTAGAAACAATTAAGTTATCCATGTATGTAGTTTGGAGTTGATCTAACTATATAGTATATAATGTTAAGCCATTTAATGTTATATTTTTTTTGGGAATACAATGTTCGTGAATAACTTTTGTTGTTGTTTTTGTAATCTATAATTTTGACTAAGTTATAAATAAGTGAATGTTTCAAATTATTAAAATAAACGAAATAATAAGATTACTTTTAAGATGAACATAATTGCCAATATTATATTTGAAAGCGCCAAGTATATATAAGAAAACGCCTACTTAGATTATTTTATGTTGTTAACAATGAGGTTCTTATGATTTTTATACTATGAAGTTGAATAGCCTAAGATTTAGTTCTCAAATCACATAAGAATGGATATAATCGCCTATGTTATACGAAAGGCGGTCTTAAATTGCCTAATTCTTGTAATGATATATTGCCCATTTATTCATAGGAGATCATAAATAATACATATGTAGTTCGGGATCTTCCACTTTATAAAGAATGATCCTCGTAATAACTTATAAGCGATCAACTGGAGATCACTTAAGCCATCAGAAATAAAATATGGGCGATTTCTAGATAACACATAGGCGAAGATTTCATCAGGATCTCCCACTTTAAAAAATGATCATGGTAATAACTAATAAGCGATGAACCGGAGACCACTTAGGCGTTATAAAGTAGTAAATTCTGACATTATGGATCGCCTACATGTTATCCAATAATTGCCCAAATGATCCTGGTAATAACTAATAAGCAATCAATCGAAAATCACTTAGGCGATCATAAATAATACATGGGCGATTTCTAGATAACACATAAGCGATATATGATTTCACCAGGATCTCTCACTTTATAAAAAATGATCATGGTAATAACTAATACGTGATCAATTGAATATCACTTAGGCGATCATAAATTATAGATGAATCATCTCTAGATAACAGATAATCTATGATTCACCAGGATTCCCAACTTTATAAAAAAAGTAATTATACTAGTAACTAATAAGCGATCAACCGAAGATCACTTAGGCTATAATAATACATGTGCGATTTTTAGACAACACATAGACAATTTATAATTTTACTAGGATCTCTAACTTTATAATAAAATGATCTTGCTAATAACTAATGGGCAATCAACTGAAGATCACTTCAGCAATGATATATAGAGATTTCACCAAGATCTTCTACTTTATAAAAAAATAATCTTGGTAATAACTATTAAGCGATCAACCCGATAACACTTAGAAGATCATAATAATACATGGGCAATTTCTAGATAACACATAGGCGATCAATTGATTTTACCACGATCTCTCATTTTATAAAAAACGATAATGTTTATAACTAATAAGCGATCTTAAGATCACTAGGTTGTCCACTATACCATATTTCATAAAATCATAAGTACTCGTCTTCCCCATTTTACTGCACATTAACAAAAAACGTCAAATATGAATCTCTTTAAGTTACAAGTATGAATAAAAAAATCCAAGTATATACATTTACATGTAGCAAGTTTTGAAGAAATTTTGCTTGACATTTGCCGGAACAATGGAGAATTAGTTGATTCACTTCTTCTGCACACTAGAAGATGTTGGAAACTAAAATCACTACAATCAAATTGTTGAACTTGACAATCAACTCAAGAAAGTAAAGATCATTAAAAAAGATTCTTTAAAAAATATGCTAAAAGATGACAATAATGTGAAGAGGGGAAAGAAAAAGCAAACAGGGTACATTATGTGCTTCCAATTGCTAATTGAAGGAACACGTTAATCTAAACACATTAGATTAGTTCGTAAAACATAAAATGAGAACTTACTTGTTCTTCGTGAAGCGGAAGCGAAAATGGATTGAACCGCGACTGGAATTACTGGTCGGCGGTGGTGGTCACAGTGTGTTGAAGCAACCCCCAATTCCACAGTCTAAACCCTTGTTTGGATTGAGAGAGAGAGAGCATGAAAAAATACTGCTTAGAGTATATTTTTAATGTACACATTAAGTGTACTTATATAGGAAATATTAGGGTTAACTAATAACCCTATTGGGCCTTAAAGCACCCCTTATGGGTGGACCCAATTTTTCTACATCTCCCACTCACACATAATGGGAGTGCTCATCTAATCTGAGAAATATATTCTCATCTCCTTAATCATTCATACAGTGAAGTAGACCGTGCGATCAGCACACTGTGAGAGCTAAGTGCTATACATCTGTAGGAGTATATAGCCTCTTGTCGAGTGCAAACCTACAAGTAGATCATAAAGTATGCAGTACCCTAGATCATATAAATCACATTTGATATAGTCTCAAAATCTCATATATTATTATTTCTTGTATTCTCAATCATAACTCATAAGTTATAATTGGTGCACCAGTGAATACAAGTAAATGAGATTTCATCAATGATCTTCCTCTTCTCACGATTCCTTTAACATTAGTATGACTGTTTTTCTAGATATGCTCCGCTAGACCGTACATGATCTTTTGGAAACACACTAATATAGCTAACATCACACTAATTCTCGAGTATTTGATCGAAATCTCCAAGAGTACAAAATCTTGAGCTATCATAAAAGCTCTGGGTCTCACACAACAATAAGTTGAGAATCGACTTATGTTAACCCAATTGGTCGACATTAGCACACATGGTATGAAACACGTGCTACAGTATTTTCTCCCTTTTCCCAACGAGCGCATGTTTTTATCTCATAAAGAATGTTGTACAGATGATATTTAGACACCATAAGTATCTAAATTTGAGTTATTTGATCTACAATATCATTTTTAACTCACATCTACCTCACAAAGTAGACTAGGTGAACATTTTTTACTCTAATGACCTTATGTCATTGTTTAAGCAACATTCTGATTTTAAGCAAATAGCTCTCAAATTATCCTTATGATAATTTTACTTAACATTAGGTCTCATCTCCTTACATCACTAAGATAAGGAGGCGGTTTCCTTTGTAAGAAGGCCAACCTCTTGTCTACTCGACATACTTATAAAAAATGAACAAAGAATGTACATAACATTCAACAATAAAAATATGTAAATCAACTTTATTTAATATCAAAGAACATCAAGTTTGTGAACACGGGAAAATAAATAACAAAATAAAGTATCTCAGAGCCTACGCAAGCCTTGAGACCCAGTGTGTCTCACAAATGCATCTCTAGACAAAGGCTTGATCAATGGATCTGCTAGCATATCTTTTGTTGACACATCCTTCACATTCACTACCGTACGTCTAACCATGTCTCTCACATAGTTATACTTGATATCTATATGTTTGGTTTTATAACAAAATTTAGGGTCCTTGGTGGAGGATATTGTAGCCTCACTGTCACAGTAGACTAATACTGGTTCAGTATTTTCAGTGATATCCAACAAGTGCTCCAAGAACTTTTTAACTAAACAGCTTCTTGTGTTGTTGATGCGAGAGCCACGTATTCGGCTTCCATCGTAGATGGTGATACACATGATTATTTCTTAATACTCCATGATATGGCCCCATCACTGAGTAAGAAAACATATCCTAAGGTAGACTTCCTCTTGTCTAGATCTCCTCCATGGTTAGCATCACTGTATCCAATTAGTTGCAGATCCTTACCGCCTTGATAACAAAGGGCATAATTAGCAGTTCCCTTCAGATATCTCATGATCCTCTTTATTGCTTGCCAATGTTCTAAACCTGGGTCGGTCCGATATCTACTTACCAAGCCAACTGCTTGACAAATATCAGGTCTAATGCACACCATAGCATACATTAGACTTCCGACTGCGCTCCTATAAGGAACTCGACTCATTCTTTCTGTCTCTTCAGGAGTCTTAGGACACATCTGACTTCCCGAGGTATGACCTTTACTAATAGGATTTTCAACTAGGCTACTATTTTGCATATTGAATTGTTCAAGAACTTTTCTAATGTAATTCTCTTGTGAGAGATACAATAGTTTCTCTGGACGATCTCTTGAAATTTTAACTCCAAGAATATATGCAGCTTCACCCATATCTTTCATCTCAAATTGAGATGACAGCCATGACTTTATCTCGGTTATAAACTCCTTATTATTTCCAGCTATAAGTATATCATCTACATACAATGTTAAAATCACAAGCTTATTTCTTGATCTCTTGGTATAAACGCAATGGTCTTCGTCCATCATGGTAAAACCATTGGATACAAGAACATTCAGAAAGCGTATATACCACTGCCTTGAAGATTGTTTGAGGTCATAAATAGACTTCAAAAGTCTACAAACCTTTTGTTCATGACCCTTTTCAATGAAACACTCAGGTTGTTCCATATACATTTCTTCATCTAGTTCTCCATTGAGAAAATCAGTCTTTACATCCATTTGATGTAATTCAAGATCCAAACTTGCAACAATAGCTAGAACCAGGCGAACTGAGACAAATCGTACAACAGGCAAGAAAGTCTCTTCGTAGACTATTCCTTTCTGCTGTGTATACCCTTTCACCACCAGTCGAGACTTATATCTCTCAACTATGCCATCAGCCTTGAGATTAATTTTGAGAACCCATTTGCTCCCAATTGCTTTGCGTCCTTCAGGGAGGTCAACTAGTTCCCAAACTTTGTTGACTCTCATAGACTCCAATTCATCTTCCATTGCCTTTGTCCATTTATTCTTAGAAGGGCATGAAATAGCCTCTTTTACATTTTTAGGTTCGTTTTCTTCTTGTAGGAGCATCATAAATAGTTCGCCGCCTTCAACATCAAATCATCGGCGGGGAATCTTTTTACGAGAACCACGTTTTATTTGTGATTCATCATTGTCCCCATTTGGATCAATGTTTCTCCCACTCGGATCAAGATCATTCATCCTGCTCCCACTTGGAACAAGATTTGTGACCATCTCACTCCCACTTGGAACAAGATCTATTTGGTCACTTCCACTAAATGTAGAAGGATTACTTTCATTCGCATCTGATGATGAAGGAGGTCTTTAATGAGAAACTAATTCATCATCTGCCAAAATTCTCTCACTCGAGTGAAGTGATCCTTGTACTTCTTGACCTATTATCTCAAATAAGGTTAGGTATTGACCTACCTCTCCCTTATTAGGGAACTCATCCTCTAAGAATGTGACATCTCGTGATTCAAACTCAGTTACACTCTCACTGTCTTGCTGACCTATAAACACATAACCCTTTGAGGTTTCAGAGTATCTTATAAAGATACTTTTCTTTCCCCTCGGGCCCAATTTGCCATATTTATGAGAGGAATCATGTGTATAAGCAGCACAACCCCAAGGTCTTAATACACTCAGGTCGGGGTGTCTTCCAGTCCATAACTCATATGGAATAGTAGTAACTGACTTTGTAGGCACTCGGTTAAGAGGTAGCAGTAAGCAACGCATCACCCTAGTAGCTAATTGGGAGGTTAGCTTGTGCCATCATTGACTTAATCATTTCTAGGAGCATTCTATTTCTTCTCTCCGTAACACTATTTTGTTGAGTTTTCATAGCTCTTGCATTTTATTTTTTAGAATTTGATATAGGATCCTTTTCCCATGGAGTTTTATAATTAGGGAGAATTTCCAAGGATCATAAATTCTTTGCTTATCTTCTGGGGTAATTTGGATAATTATAGACTCTAAATTAATTGATCCAATTGTGTAGGTATTTAAATTTTCTGTATCCATATCCATAGGTAAAGTAGATGGAGCTAGAGTGTTGCTACTAGGCTATTCATTTTCTCTTACTGTGTGCATTTCTAAGAGATGCCTAGCGAGTTTCTCTATTTTCACATTCAATAGTCTAGGTTAGATTCGTCGTTTTATTTTCATATTCTTCTCTTGTAGTTTTATCACTTTAAAATAACAAATAATAATAATAGTAATAATAATAACAATAAAATACAATAGCCATATGAAAAATTCTACTTTTAATATTTGCTCTTACCTATTTAAAACTGAGCATACAAAGAAACTCATACTCAAAATATAATACCGTGTATAAAAGATCATTCTTGACCTTCAGATTTTCTCACAAAGGCTACTCTTAGCCTTAGGCGTTTTCACTCTTGAAATCAGACTTAGGAATTCTTTTCTCCTACACGTCTATGTGACATGCGCCTTACCCGTCAAGGTGCGTTTGTCAACCCCGCATAGTCCGTCATACCGAGCTGCTCGTCATGTTGTTGCTCTAATGTTTCAGGTTGTGTGCCAAGGCCATCATGAAAATCCTTAGACATAACCCACATCTGCCGAGGGACCTTGTCAAGGGGCTAAAAAACCACCCCCACCCGAAGAATTCGTCGTCTTCGACAAAGTATCTTCGGCATTTTTCAGCACCACCATAAGCCTTGATATGTAGTCTCATACTCTTCCTCATTTGGCTCATCTTCTCCCTTTTCATCAGCAAACAAAGTAGTGAGCTGCTCAAATTTTGGGCAATTCCTCGCCTTTACCAAAAGAACTTAGTCTTGTGGAAAAATTGTTAGCCAAAAACGTCTAAGTATATTCCTAAGGGCGGAAAATTATTTTGGGGCAGGAACTAGGGTGTTCTTTGTTCTTGGCCATAAGGTTGGCTTTGTTGTGTTCTTGTATTCATATATTAATACAAGTTCGGAAGAAATTAGTGTAAATTCGTATGTGCCTTTTACTTTCTTTGCTGCCTAAATTCATTCGAAGTCCCAAACGCCCTAAAAATAATTTTTAGTGTTGGAAGGCTAAAATCAAGTGCCGGAGCAAATTTTTGGTGGACTAAAATTATCCTAGCGACAACTGGTAAAGTTACTAACTACAATTTTAATCCAACTAGTTGTAACTAATTCACTCCCCAAAGAATAGCAGATGCAAACATCTTAGGACCCATTTGTCCGTTAAATTCTTTTCCTTTTTCTCGAACTTTTTTTAAAAAAAATATGTATGTTCATAAAATTTTGTAAGATTTTAGAAATTTTTCGAAAATGAAAAAAAAACTTTTTTCCCACTCACAATACTGTAATATTTTTTTTAGTGAATTACATGTCCAAATATAATTTTAAATTCCAAATAGTACCATTTTTCAACTTAGCTAAAAAAACTACTAGTATTATTTTTTTTTCAAAAATTACAATATTTATGTCCAAACGCCTACTAAAATTCCCAACATTTGATCTCATGTAAGGAGTAAGGATAGCGTCAGTTGCCACTGTCTTCTCCACACCAATGTTGCTTCCTCTCTGCAACTTCCATCCCTTAAACCCTCCCAAAACCCTCCTTTACCCCTCCCCTTCCCTTCCTTTTTTCTCCACCACACACCCTCTTTCCCTAAAACCCTTCTTTTCCCGTTCCTCCATTCCCGTTTTCGCCACTTCCCCTAATAATACTTCACCTTTACCTGAATCCGCCATTCAAAGAATCGCCAACAAACTTCGCAGCCTCGGCTATATCGTGGAAAACCCCCAAAACCAAGAAACAACCCCAGAAAATTCCAATTCTTCCTCAGCTGGACAAATTTTTGTTCCTTTGCCTAGCCAATTACCCAAGTATCGTGTGGGTCACACGCTTGACGTTAGTTGGAGCACGCCCGAAAACCCGGTACCACAACCCGGTTTAGGGAACAGTATACAGAAGTTTCATGAACTGAGGGGTAATTTTTTAAAGGAGAAGGAGAAAGAAAGGCTGAAGAATAAGGATAATAAGAAAGAGAGAGCGCCTAGTTTAGCTGAACTGACTTTGCCAGCTGAAGAGTTGAGGAGGCTGAGGACACTTGGGATTGGGTTAAGGAAAAAATTGAAGATAGGTAAAGCTGGGATTACTGAGGGGATTGTGAATGGTATTCATGAAAGATGGAGGCGTATCGAGCTCGTTAAGATTACCTGTGAGGACTTGTGTAGGTTGAATATGAAGAGGACTCATGAGTTATTAGAGGTTAACAGTTACTCCCCAATTCTCATTTATCATGCTTTTTTTTTTGTATATAAGCGGAACTAGAATTTAAACTTTATGGGTTTGAGTTCGGGATCATTTGATTTACTGGGTTGGAAAGCAACTATTTGGTGAATTTTCTAATACATATGCAAGGTCCCAGCCAAAGCTACTGGGCTTAGATGAACCCATAACGTACACTCTACATCCGCCCCTGGTTACAAATGCAATTAAACGGCTAAAGAAAGGAAATGGTTAAATGTGCAGGAAAGGATATAAATATTAGAAGAATGTTCTCCATAACTGTTTCCTCGAGATGTATTCTCCATTTTGAAGTTTTGATGTTAACCGGAATTGGGGGAAATTACACCTTTTTAATGATTATATCAAATGCCGATATTAAAGCCTTAACTTTATGCTGGTGGTTGATTGATCCTAGTATACTTATGGTCATTGCACTGTTTTTGCACATTCGCTGTGAGTAATTCAAAGTAGAGATGTCTCTGATATGTTATCTATGGCATGAGTTTACTTATCAAGAATTAAAATAGTTTGCAGTTTAACGGTATTACATTTCAAAGGTAGAGTTCATAACTTGTAAAGTTCTTTAGATATGCATTATACCACTGTTATAATTTTTAACCTTCTTTTGGCTTATTTTAATATTCTTAGAGGAAAACTGGAGGTTTGGTTATCTGGAGATCTGGAAGTAATATAATTCTGTATAGAGGAGCTGATTACAAGTATCCTTATTTCTCCGAGAGTAACAGCGGGCAAGATGCTAGTCCTGACTTGTTCACGGGTACCGAAGAGCATACGACTAATTCATCCGACATGGATGCCATAGAATCTGATGCATCGGACAGAAAGTCTCCTACATGCGTAATCCGGGGTGTAGGTTCTCCAGACAGAGTCCGATTTCAATTGCCTGGAGAGGCAGAACTTACTGAAGAAGCTGACAAGCTACTGGAAGGACTTGGCCCTCGCTTTACTGATTGGTGGGGTTGTGAGCCATTGCCTATCGATGCAGATCTTCTGCCAGCTGTAGTCCCTGGGTACAAGAAACCTTTCCGTCTACTTCCATACGGAGTAAAACCTAAATTGACAAATGATGAAATGACAACACTGAAAAGACTTGGTCGACCTTTGCCTTGCCATTTTGCATTAGGTACGTTGTATCTGATTGCGAGACTGTTATTTTACTAGACAACTCTTGTTATACTTGCTCGTGTATTTTTATCAGGCAGAAACAGAAAACTCCAAGGATTGGCTGCTGCAATTGTGAAGCTTTGGGAGAAATGTGAAATTGCAAAAGTTGCCGTTAAAAGAGGAGTTCAGAACACTAACAGTGAACTGATGGCGGAAGAGCTTAAGGTTTGTGAATTTATTTTAGCCTTTGATGATATTTTTATTTCATTATACAACACTTGGCTTTCTTATGAAAGCAAACTATACTTTGTAGAACTTATCCTATTGTGGTTCACAAAAAAGTAAACTTTGCAGTGGTTGACTGGAGGAACCTTGCTCTCTAGGGATAAGGAATTTATTGTCTTTTACCGAGGAAAGGACTTCTTGCCATCTGCAGTCTCTTCAGCAATAGCAGAACGGAGAAAGCAAGTTGTCGAAGAGGAAAAGAAGAGTGGTTTTAGTTCATCAGTGGCAAATACTAAGGAACGGAAAAAGTCCATAGCGAGAAGTGTTTCTGATGATGAACATGCAAACCAAAATGACCAAAAAGGTGTTCAAGAAAAAAAGAAACTGACTTCCATGGAAGCAGCTATCAAGAGAACTGCAGATAAATTAGCCACTGTATGTGTTCATTATGGTTGCATCTACCCGCTCTCTTGCAGATTCTGATATTTATTTTTGAATGTTTTATATTTTCATGCCAGGCAATAGAAAAGAAAGCCAAGGCAGAGCAGCTCCTTGTGGAGCTTGAGGAGGATGAGATGCCACAGCAAGCTGATTTGGATAAAGAGGGAATAACTGAAGAAGAAAGATTCATGTTACGGAAGATTGGCTTGAGAATGAAGCCTTTCTTACTTCTTGGTGAGGGCTTCTGTACTGCAAGCCTATGTCTTTGCCAAAATACTTATGGAGGTTGACTCACGTACTTCTTTGCTGATGCTCAGGTAGGCGGGGAGTCTTTGATGGAACAGTAGAGAACATGCACCTTCATTGGAAATATAGGGAATTGGTAAAGGTAATAACCGGGAGGAAAAGCATTGAGGAGGTAAACCAAATAGCTAGGATGTTGGAGGGAGAGAGTGGGGGAATACTAGTTGCTGTTGAGCGAGTAAATAAGGGTTATGCGATCATTGTGTACCGGGGAAAGAACTATGAAAGGCCTGCTTCTTTGAGGCCTCAGACTCTTCTAAGTAAAAGAGAAGCAATGAAGCGTTCTATTGAGGCTCAGCGACGCCAGGTAATGTTCTAGTAGTTAAGGTGAAGATTCCAGATATAATACCTCTTAATTTTAGTAGTTGACTTTGGCATGGTTTTAAAATTTGAAGTAGAAACATGGGGTTTTTGGTGGAAAAGGAAGGGTTCATGGTAAGTTTATCTGTGAAAGAATCCAACATCCAATCCAAAACCTTAAGGTTATGAGTGGAGTAGCCAAGACTTTTATAAAGCCCATTGGAAACTCTTGCACAAGCCAAGCGCGACAACCTTATAACTCAAACACCCTCCTGTACGTGTAACCTGATTTGGATGCGATGATGGACTTACAAAGGTTAGCTCTGGTACTGTGTGGAAGAATCTGAGCATTGGAAGTCCTTACCCAACTCAGACAACTATACAACTCAATATCTGTATTAGCTTATGTGTTCGTATTTTGATGTGTTATTTTGATAAAGGTGACTTTCATGTGTTTTATGTGTTTGTTTCTAATTCTAGTTTTCTCAACTAGTTAAGTTTTGCAAACGTTTTTTGGTCTATTGCTATCACTCTACTTCTAGCAATCAAAAAATAACAAAAAAGTATCAGCATATTTCTGTAAGACATATTGCAGTTGAAGTGCGGGTAAACCATTTTGTATGACAGTTTGTAAGCTTCTCTACCCTTGTGAGTGTTTCTTATTTCTCTAGATTTCGGTTTTCCTCTTCTTCTTCACTTGTCTTTCTTTCTGATGTTTCTGCATAAACTTTTCCAGTACTTATCTTTCTTTTTCTTTGTTTCTGATGCAGTCGTTGAAACTGCATGTCTTAAAGCTTACACAAAATATAGAGGCCTTGAAGTCACGGTTGGTGTGTTATCTTACCTTATCGGAGTTGCTTCAATTTTTTATTTTCCACTTACCAGCTCATTTCTTAATTATATCTAAATGTCACACCATTTGCCTTGACCCAGACCAAAAGCGAGGAGATGATTCATATGCAGTCCCCGGATATAGTTGGTTTGCAGGTAGCTGAGACAGGAACATCTAATGCTGCAAGAGGAACAAATTGTCAGTCTAGTTTAGCAAGTCCTTGCACTTCTGAGGTAACAATTAATGCATTATGATAACAGTATATTCTATTACTTAATGTTGAAGGAGCATGTTATGTTTCCACTTGCTTCTCATATCTTTGATGCTTGTTGCATGTGAGATCCCTTATCAACCAAAATAAGGTATTATAACAGTAAAAGGTCACATGAAGCTAGAAGTGTGAAAGCTCGGTGCACTAAGCTCCCGCTATGCGCGGGATGCGAGGAAGGGCTGGACCACAAGGGTCTATCATATGCAGCCTTTCCCTGCATTTCTGCAAGAGGCTGCTTCCACGGCTCGAACCCGTGACCTTGTTACCTTCAAAAATCTTTCAGATACCCGTTAGGCACAAACAACTTGCCTTCTAGATGTAGACATCTTGTCTATGCTTCGCACAATCTATTAGGCTGGTATGTGTAGTTAATACCTATATAACAGCCCAGCCCGCTAGTGATATTGTCCGCTCTGGGCCTAGCCCCTCACGGGTTTAAAACGCATCACTAGGGTGTAAAGCTTTTTAACTTATATACCCAGCATCTCTCTTATGTTTTGCTGATGTGGGACTCTGTCTAAAGTTTAGGGTGTTACATACACCCCCTCTTATGGACTCAGCGTTCTCGCTGAGGTTTGCCCCATTGCATGGGATTCGCCTAGACTCAGCACCGAGGTGTGCCCCGCTTAACCGGGATTTGCTTAAACTCAGTTGAACTCTGACCCACCATCGGCATGGTTGACACAAGAGTGGCTCTGATGCCATCTATAACAGCCCAGCTCGCTAGTGATATTGTCCGCTCTGAGCCAAGGCCTTCACAGGTTTAAAACGCATCACTAGGGTCTAAGGCTTGTTAACTCAGCATCTCACTAGGGTCTAAGGCTTGTTAACTTATATGCCTAAAGAGAGATGCTGGGTATATAAGTTAACAAGCCTTAGACCCTAGTGGCACGTTTTAAAACCGTGAGGGCCTAGGCCCAGAGCGGACAATATCAGATGCGGGCTGGCCTGTTATAGTATCAGGGCCACTCTTGTGTCAGCCATGCCGATGGTGGGTCAGAGTTCAACTGAGTTTAGGTAAATCCCGGTTAGGCGTGGCAAACCTCGGTGCTGAGTCTAGGCGAATCCCATGCAGTGGGGCAAACCTCAGCGAGGACGCTGAGTCCCTAAGAGGGGGTGTATGTAACACCCCAGACTTTAGACAGAGTCCCACATCGGCAAAACACAAGAGAGATGCTCTGTATATAAGTTAACAAGCCTTAGACCCTAGTGACGCATTTTAAACCCGTGAGGGCCTAGGCCCAGAGCGGACAATATCACTAGCGGGCTGGGCTGTTATAATCTAAGTTTAAGAGATTGAGGAATCTGGAGTTAAGATTACTTGTGGACACATAGCCACCCACATTCTTATCTCCATGTATGAAAACATGGAATATCATTGTAACACACAGCATTCCTTGTAGAATCAAGCTGTTTTAGATGAATTTCTATATCATAGAGCAAAGCTATGATGGTCACGAGATATATTGAATATACTTGATATCAGTCAAGTGTTAAATGTTTCATCTGCATGTGGTCCTGGCATTCTCCATGTTATCATTTTTATTCCTTTGCGGTGTGAATAGAAAGAGAGAATAGTTTATTTTAGCTTTCATATTCAGGATTGTGGGGATGCTGTGAAAGACACTGACCACAGTTCTCAGAAAGAATTACCAAGTGATTCCTCAGAAACTGACCACAGTTCTGAGCAAGAACTTCCAAGTGATTCCTCTTTTCAATATGAGAGCAAGGCTGAGGCTATGTCTGATACAATTCAACCTCAGCGTCAATCTATTTCATCAACCAAAGAGTCGAAAAGTATGTTCAATGTGAATGTGGATGAAGAAGCATTTGGAAGTGCAGTGGATGAATCTGTTTCTAAGTCTTCCAGGGTAAATTTCGTTCTCTCTTCGGAATTATTATGCTTTATTTTTTTCCCCTCATGAAGTTAATGGTAATTTTTTCCGTGTGCTTTTCTCGCTGATTTTAGGGAGAAGTTAAGATCCACTTTTCTGAGACCAGAAGTGTCGATAAACTTCGGGAAGTTGACTATAGGAAGGAGGTGTCTGAAGTTGATTCCGTCAAACCTCAACAAGAACTTAGATCCAACAGGAGTAGGTCCGAAGGGATGCCTCCCAAAAAAGTACATCTTTCCAACAGGGAGAGGCTGCTTCTCAGAAAACAAGCCCTCAAGATGAAGCAGCAACCAGTGCTTGCTGTTGGTAATATGAGTACCTCTTCTATTGTCTCGATATGCTATTGCTGTGGTGTAGTCGGTTGTATAATTGCTCGTTTTGAAAACAAGAATTAAACTTTTGCAACCACAGTGCATTTCCATCTTAAGCGAGATGACACTGCAAGCTTTACTTTTCACTTTTCACTGATGCCGGCATTTGCTCAAATCTTCAATGTTATGGGATATGGATTTTGGGGTGTTAGAATGTTTCACTTATGATGGACCTGATGATGAACTTGGAGGCAGGAAGTTCTAACTTTCACGTTGGAGGAGGAGGAGACAAGGAATTCTGCATTTTCTGCAATTCATACTTATGATCTCACTATTCGATAAGTAGTCTTGGTGATTCCTGATCTTACAGCTTGTCGTCTTTTGCAACTTTATATCAGGGAGGAGCAATATTGTCACTGGAGTTGCCAAAGCGATCAAAGCACACTTTAAGAAGTATCCTCTTGCTATTGTGAATGTCAAAGGAAGGGCAAAAGGGACTTCAGTTAGGGAGGTGGTTTTTAAGCTGGAGGTTTGTAAATAAGCTTTTTAGTTGTTCATTTCATTTGGCAGCATGCATATCTATATATTATTAAAAGGAAGGAAGTTTGGCATAGAATTGTGACAAGTGGCGAAATAAGAAAATGACACGTGTTAGTTTTTAGGACAAAAACTAGTTATTAGGAGTAATAATTAGTTATTANTCAGACCTTGTATGTAGTGACTCTTAGACAGTTTGTGACACTGTGACACCAGATTTTGGGTATTTGAGGTTTTAGAAGTTGTAATAGACGTTGATCCCAGATATTATATTGTTACCTTCCGCTTAAAAATTTAAAGTTCCGCTGATTTCATGTTATCGCTTATATTTGTTAAAAAGAAGTAATTTGTTAACGAAGTGAGTAGTTAAGTTTTGGCTTGCCTAGCTCCCAATAGTAGGCGCCATCACGACTCCCGAGGGAGGGAAATCCGGGTCGTGACAGCATTGTGCTTAAGCCAAGTGGCAAGCTAAAATAAAGCCACTTGGCAATTTTTAGACAAAATTAATAATTAAGAATTATAAATGGAAACATAATTAATGGAAGAAGTTTAATAAATCTTATACATAATCCAAAGAGATCTTAGACAAATCCAATCTTTATATCTATATTTATATTTATATGTATATGTGTATCTATATCTATATTTATATCTATATATTGATCCACTCATAGATTTTCTTCTATATTAGCTAGAAATATGAAAGGTAAAAAATTAATTATAAAACTAGAATAGAAGTAAATAATAAATATAGAAAGACGTAAATTGAGATAAGCTATGGCTATTTATACTTTGGAGCTATAAAATAAAACTAAAATTTACTTAAGATACTAAAGATTTATTGAGTTTAAAAATTAAATAAATTCAAGCAGCAAATTAAGATCTTACATAAAGTATACAAATTATTTATAAGGTAAAAACAATTAAATAATCAGTAAAAAATATTTTTATAACAAGAATAATAAAGTCATATTAATATTGATGAATCATGCAAGCGAATATTTTATACGTAAATATTACTACAACATTTAGATATAATGTGTTCAAATAATTAAGAAAATATTTTTCTATGATTAATATTTGAATTGAGTGCAGTTAGTTTAAATTTGAAAGCACAACATATTTTTTTGAAAATGCAGTCCAAATTAGAAAATAGAATGATAAAATTATTTGAATTTGAGATGAGAAAGTTTTTAAATTTTTATCTATATTATATTAGAATGAGTGTGGTAGACATAGATATTAAATTCAAACAGGCTAATAAAAATTCACATGATAATGTAATAATATAAGGTATTGAATAATATAATATTAGAAATAAAGAATAAATAGAGAAAAAAATAAAAATTCAGATTTTTTATCATAGAGAAAAGGGTAAAACTTATTTAAATTTGAGATGAGAAAGTATTTTATATTATGATAAAAAAAGTCATAATGTGGATAAATCCANCTTAAAACTAAAAAAGAAAAAAATTACGTAAAGAAATAAAATGACAGTGAAAATATTACTACAACATTTAGATATAATGTGTTCAAACAATTAAGAAAACATTTATATGAATTGAGTGTAGTTAGTTTAAGTTTGAAAGCATAGCATAGTATTTCGAAATTGCGGTCCAATTTACAACATAGAATGATAAGAATTATTTGAATTTGAGATGAGATTTTTTATTTCATAAATTTTTTATTTTTGAAAATATCATGCAAAGAAATACAACAGCAAAAATATTACTACAATATTTAGATATAATGTGTTCAAACAATTAAGAAATATTTTTTCTATGATTAAAATAAAATTAAAAATATAAAATTAATTTCTAATATAGGTAATTTTACTAATTATAATTAAAAATTAACTGCATTTAATACAAAATAATTATAAGAGAATTAAATAAATTGGAAAGTAATAATAAAATAACTTATGTATTAATATTTTTGACTAATTAAAAGTTAAAATTTAAAATATAATATGATATTATTTTGGTTATAGGTAAAATATTAATATAAAAATTAATTAAAATTTATAGTAGGGAAGAGATGTATAAAAAGAAATAAAGGTAGTGTTAGGATATTTATACTTTAAATTAATTGAAAAATAAATAAATTAAATAATTGAGCTATATTTTTGAAAATATTACTGATAAATTAAAATGATTAAGAAATTCTGAATAAGAGGCTACAAGCATATAAATATACCAAATTTCAAGAATAAAATATTTATATTTATTAAAGACTATTAAAAGGATAATAAGCAAAATATTAATTTAATTATTAATCTAATAAAAATTATATGACAGTATAACAATATTAAATAATTAAATAATAAATAATACAATAACTACAAGAAAAGAACAATAATAAAAAAGAATTTACATAAAATGATGTGATGAATAAGACATATTTGACTTTGAGTCAAAAACAAAGTGATAGTAAGAATTTTGTTAAAATAATGTGATATATATGCTCAAACAAGATAGATCACAACATGACATATTTAGTATTTTTTTAATATTGACACCGAAACGAAATGCAAGTACTAAAATCAAGGGGTTAGGTTACTACAAATAAAAAAAAAGTTGTCTACTACGAGATTTGAATAATAATTTCATATCTTGCTTTATAATTAATATCTAATGTTATATAATTTTTATGTGAAAGGTTTATATTTTAAGGTTATTTGCACATGACTCAAACAATCTACATCACAATTTGATATGATTTGTGTTCGCGCATCGCGCGGGTACTAATACTAGTTTTACTGAAAGCCTAGCTTTTGATACTTACATCTGCAGCAAGCTACCGGTGCTGTTCTTGTTTCCCAAGAACCAAGCAAAGTCATATTATATAGGGGCTGGGGACCAGAAGGACAGCGTGGTGCTTCTAATCGAAATGGTATCAGAGATTCAAGAAACAGCAGAGAGCACAAGGATCAGCTGGCAATATCTCCTGAGCTAATATCAGCAATCAGGCTTGAATGTGGTTTGCAGGCCGACTATGAAATGGAGGTTGCTTCATAGGCTACAACCTTGGTACACGTGAAGTTGACAACTGGTTTCGTCAGGGTCAAAGCCTTGAGCTCTCGTCTAGCCACCCTTTTTTGACCCCAATACATGGTTTCTGAATTCTCTTTGCATGCATCTGAAAAATGCTTTCCAGGTGTGGAGTTGGAATTATCAACTCTCCAATACAAATGATAGGGAATCAGCTGCCACCGAGCTTCTCTTCTTGCAGACTTTCAGTAACTGGAATAAGTCCCGCACTAATTTTCTGTCTCGTGGCAGTGATCATTGTGCATCAACGGGAGAGATTCTGAGATGAAACCTAACTGTATGTCAGTTATGTGTCGCTGCTAACTTAATTGTTTTCGAACAAACTCCATTTTTGGTTTCGGATAGGATATCTGTTCTCATCTATCTTTAGTTGCTGACCTACATTTTATGTAAATAGAACTTGCAAAAAACTCATCTGTACCAATTTCATCTGTTGAATTTTCCATATGTTTATTGAAGTGGCAAAGCTTGGAGTAGTTCTCATTAGATGTACTAAAATGTAAATCCACTAACCATATACCTACATTGTCGTGTCTATGTGTGTCAAGTGGGACCTATTGGGGCCATATTTGATTCGTTAGCAAAACGAGCTGAATCAAATGGGAATAATTTTTTCAACGGGCTGATTGCCGTTTGAGTAGAGGGCGGATCTTGGATTTCAAGGAGATGAGTGTATTATTACAAAGAGATGAATCTAGAATTTATATTTGACATATTCAACTTTTAGGTTTCTTATCATGAATTCGCTATTATTTAGAAATTATAGGTTAAAATTAAAAAAATTCTTGCAACTTTAGTGACTTTTAACATATATACCTATAATCCATTATCAAAAATGCTGAAATCATTGAACAATGCTATATCAGCTGCTACTAGTAGTTTTAATTATATAAATTTTACGATGACAGAAGGAGATCAAGAATTTCAATGTGTTAGATTTAGGGATTATAGTGAGTAAACCAAATACATAAAAGAAAAAACTACTTATTTAAAATACAAGAGGGACACTAGACATGCCTACAAATTGGGATTTAAACCTCTAACTTGTAAAGGTGCATCCAATAATCATCTATATCTATCTATATCTATCTATCTATCTACCTATATCTATATTATTATAAAAGCACGAATAATTTATGCTAAATGTTGAACGACTAGAATATCCCTGTAATATTGATAGACTTTTATGCCCTTAAATACTAAGTATTTGTTTAACAAAACAAGTTAAAGATGGATGTAATTATAAAATTCAAGATATTACAATACTATATTAATTATACATTACTTATTTCTAGCGTCCAAGTAGTATAAAACTTGGAATGCCAACAAATACGTCACCTATTCTTGCCGATCAAGCAAATCAAATTGTGGCTTATGATATATGTAGCTGGTGGGCCAAATTCTTCGACTATACAAGAATACATATATTCTATTTGCTCTTGAAGTTCCAATCCATACCAATCTCACATGAACAACAGAACAAGAATACTTCAATATCAATAACTTTGGGAATTCACATAGCAGATTCATATGTTGATATTTTCGGATTCATGTTATTCTTTTGTTTACTTTTAGGGATAAGCACTGAGCATGT